TCTCACTATGTACCCAATGAAACTCCATACCAAATTTGGTGAAGATCCATCCACAGGAGTTGAGATAGTGGTAAAGAAACGCAAAATACAGCCATAAAAACTGCAAAGTCCAAAACTAAAATTTTGTATGTAATTGAATAAATAGAGTTGTTAAACATTTTTTGTGAGTGTAAAACACTTATACACACACCAGTTGAACATTGGTATGTTTTCCCGCATGAACCCAATGAACCTCCTTACGAATTTTGGTGAAGGTCCATTCACATCCTGCGAAGTAGTTACATGGACATACAACAGACAACAGATAGTACTATTATATTTATATAGATGAGCTCTAAAAATCACAATTCTAGTGTAAACGATGTTATCATTACCCGTTGAAGTTAAGTTTCTTACAAACATCTGTTGCTCCTTTAGAAAGCTTAAGTACAAGGTGAAACAGGAATTACCAGTCAATAATATATTAATATTAGATGACTCTAACATATAAATGCTTTGTACACTATACAATCGGTGAGTTTAGGGAGCCAACCCCTATATTATGTATGAAATGAAGGAGTAAAAATACATAAATACATATAATATTCAGTTTTATTACATACATTCGTAGAATAAGTATTTTAAAAGACACGAAGGTTTATTTAAAGCGATGTTTTAGACGTATATGTTTTATTTGAAAAGGTTGCTTTTCTACTGGTAAAATTTTATATACGCTTAATGGGGGTTGTGTGAAAGTCTTGGCATATACTTGCCCATTGCTATGGGTTATATATATATAAAGAATTTAGTTACACAGGAACTATAAATGATCACTATATTCTCAAATAAATATCCATGGTTAATCTCCAACAGCAGCTTAACATTTTACATCTCAAACTAATACAATCAAACAGTCCATAGCTACAGTAAATCATCACGGACCGTTTCAGCTAGCTACTAGCTATGTTTATTATCATTACAATATATAAAGTTAGCTACCATATCAAGTAATTCTTTGCCAATAGTTGTGCATAAAAATCCAACAAACAAGATAAATGAAAAATTCGGAATTTGAAAACCTGTAAATAGAAATAGTCAAAAAGTAAGGAAACAAGGTTGGTGATACTGGAACATTACTTACTCAAACTACAAATCCCTATTTTAACTCCTCCAAATGTAATTCTAGGTAACAGCATGGATCCAAATAGGGATTTGTAGTTTGACAAAGTAATGTCTACAGTATCTCCAGCTTTGTTTCCTTACTTTTGTATCCCTATTTGCAGGTTTTTAAATTCCCAATTTTGTTTATTTATCTTGTTTTAAAATGATTTCGTTTAGCTTAACATTCAAATGAACCTTTGTTGCGAAGTTTTACGCATCCTTATGGAGTCAAAGATATACATTTTAGGCTGATATTCTTTTGGTTTAGTATTTAGCTAAATTTTAGCGTAAAGTTTGTTATATGTGTATAATTGTAGATACAGAATTTAAAAAAATTATATATATCTTATAATGCTATCCTTTATCTTTAGTTTTCAACTAGTTCTTGATTATATTTGTATTCCTTCACGATTTCGTTTAATTTAGTTTGTTTCGAATAATTTTCCAAAGTCACACAAGGTCTATCTTGCCGTTTGTCCCTAATTTTAAACTTGTGAATTAGAAAGAAAGCAACTGGTCAACATGAACATCTGAGCAGCTAAAGGAGTGTTCCAGAAATAATTATTAAATATCTCTAAGGGGATAAACATGCACGAAATAAAAGAGACAGCAACCTGGGCTACCAAAGATTAGTTTCAGTTTTAAACAAAAGAAAAGGTGTGTTAGAACTGTTCTATTGTATTTAACTTTGTCACAATTATTTAAAAACAATCATTAAAAAAATATTTATTCAACATTTCAGTAATTTCTTATTGCAAATGTGGGGTAATACATTATGTTTCAGTCAATTGTAGAGATGCTACAAACTAAGAAATGTTCTCGGGCGAAGTCCATCCTACTGCGCAGACTCGAATTATTTTGGATTTTTTTGTTTTAGACCAAATTAGTTGGTAAGTATCTTGTTTGCCCCGATTAAGTCGTAATGGTGAAACGTCGGCTTAAATAAAACCAATTATGTTTTCTGGAGTAATAGGTCATGTTTTATTAGCACTACGTTAAAGAAACATGACGCTAACAACAATTGCTTGAAAAAATGAATATTGGACGAGTCCTTTTAAAATTGAAAGAATAAAGTTTAATGTTAATGCAAACAACAGTTCGTTTGGGTGAATTTCGCGCAAGACTTCTCAAGAGCTATCAGGGCTAACCGTCTCTGATTTAGAAGTGACAGATTAGAGGAAAGGCAGCTAGTCAACACTACCCACCGCCAGCTCTCGATCTATTATTTACCAACGAAAAGTGGGATTGACCGTTACATTATAACATCCTCACAGTTAAAAGGGCGAGCATGTTCGGTGACGAGAATGGAACCCGCTACCCATAAATTGCGAGTAAGTGCCCTAATTACCAAACCATGATAGGCGCAATAAACATAACGTACATATTCCAAAATATCTTTATGTCAGGCAACAGAAACAAAATAAACTATTGCTTGCAGTAAATACCACTTAAAACATCGGTACGGATTTTCAAGTACTAGGAAGAAATTGCTCAATTTCTTAGACTCTTCGTCTCAAGAAACACAAAGAGCCCATTGTGAATATATTGCTGTTTAACTAAGATCCATTTTCGTTTAGCTTTGATACGACTGGAAGAATTGCTCAAAGATCCTTTGATGCGAGAAGAACAGCGGAAAGTGCTTGTAAAGCAGATAGTACCAGGTCAAGAATATCGGAAGCTCTTAAAAGAGATCGGAAAAGCAGGAGTTAAGAATATCATCGTAGATGTACCAACAGAAAAAATTATCGATTTTTTGAAACATGTGAGTTTTTTATGTTTTCCTTTGTGTATACTGTTACGTAGGCCTCGGGTTTTGATCATGTGAATAACTATTTTAGTTGCATATAACCCTCTTATCATAGCCAATGTTATGTTCTTTGGTAATAATTTCTTCCGGATATTAATCCTATAAAAAACAACAAGGGATTAGATGTATCCCAGCAATACTTTTTCCTTGTATGAAAAACTACACGACTTAAAGATATCGGGGTTGACTTTTATTTTTAAAACTTGGAGCAATAGCGAATGAAGATATAAATCAAGCATCTTATGGTTTAAGTCACTGCTGTCAACAACCATGAAATTCAATAAAAATGTTTTTAGTTACAAATATTTGGTAAAATGGAAATAACACACAGATAGATGGGAAGAGACAGACAAACAGATAGATGATGTTTGTTATTTACCAATCATAAACCATATATAAGGTCTTTACGTATATTGCTACATGCATAATAAAAGAATACAAGTTCAGAGACAATAAAATAAACTTAAGATAACTTGCACAAAGATAATAAAATTAATTCTCACTAATTACATTGTTAATATATTCTATGAAGTAGTAAACAATTGATTATCAAAATACGTTTTTTTCAAAATAAATACGAAATTGGTCCAGTAAACGATAGTAAACACCCTCCTTTCAGAATCTACTTGCAACTTTTTTTTGTTTATTTTCTTGACTTCTACAGAAATATCAAAAACATAATAACAATAATGCTACTTTGGTTTAAGAACTTTTACAAGCACTCTTTGCCGTAATAAAGAGATAACTCCCACTGAAGTCCAACAACGCTATTATTTATATAAAAACCAGAAACAATGTAATAAACACCTAACACAAGATAAAATTATATCAAAAATCCATGATAATAATTAAAAGTGACTGGATAAGTAAAATACTGGTGTTTTACTGTAACAGTTTCACAACAGAACGAGCTTGTCTACAAGTCACGAACAGAACAATGTAAAATACACCACCAAACACTGGATACAAGTTTCTAAGCCCAAGAACTACAATAATATTTTCTATCCCCGTCGCTTGATTACAATGAAAAATGTTCGTCAAATTTGAAAAGCAACATTAATTTGATTAGATTCAATCATATAGTGATATATTTCATGGGTTGATAAAGATGAAATATTAAACAAAGTTTGACGCGACCCTCCTCTCGATGAAGTAAGAATAAATGAAGTAAGAGACTGGGTCTATATATTTAAATGTATCTACACAGTAACTTTTGTGTGTTGTAAAACGTCAACATGAGGTTTCCACCGCAAAGCAATATTATCAACAAGTTGAGAAATGTATTCTATATATCTCAACATTTATGAAAATAAATATGGAGTAGTATGTTTAGCGAGATTTGTCAACAAAGGATTAATGAAAACTGTTTCATGGGGCATATCTGTTGAAGTAAACAGACTTGAAATCCAACACGGGTCTAATATTTTCAACCTACTATGAGCGCCCCAATAAAACCTAAGTAAAGTCGATGACCAAGGTTTATCTCGCATGGTCATAATATCCTAAAAATGAAATATTTCTAAATTACTAGCACATAATTGTTTCAGTAACTACATCATTAAAGCTCTTTTCTAGCGAAGTCTGAAACAAATAAAGAAATCGTGATATACGAAAAGAATCAAGCTTTAGGACGTGGGAAACTAAGCTGAAACCTTCAAGTTAGGGTTTCTGGTCAAATATTTTTGGGATTATCAAAGAAACTTGTCCCAAAACTGACCAAGAAATAACTACTTAATTTATATAACAATGTTTGGGTGGAGTAAAAAGGTACAACAACCCCATTGATAAGAAGAAAACGTCCTTTTAAGGACTTTTAAAATTTAAACCTAGTCCTTCTTTACTTTATTAGTTACACTAATAACTTTAATTTCAACGTTATAATAGCAAGTTGCCAGCGGCTTCTTATCCCTGCTCATCCATTTACTAGTTTTTATTTTTCTCCTGAAGCAATCTCTTAATTAGCGATACATTTGGAAATCATTAGAAACTCAACATTCGCTCGAACATGAACATTCACACATCATCAACATAAGCTGAAATAAAACAACCTTAACATAGCTTGGAAAGACACTCTCCTATCTGTACAAGTTTGGATCACAGTCTTACTAGAAAGAGTTCCATAGCAATTGTGAAAAGGATACATTGAACATTATTATCTGATTTCTTTTTAAAAAGGAGTTGCACTGGTTAGTAAACTTTTGTTACAGATAATAAATTTTTCATTAGTAAACATAGTAGTGATCATCTTCAATAACTTTGGACCCAAAGGCTTTTAAAGATCCCGAAACTAATCGTACTCAACATTGTCAGACGCCTTCCATAATCTAAATTCATCATGCAAAGGTTTCGTTATTTCGTTACTTGTTTTCACTAAAATCAATAAATCTCGAATGAAGTAGAACTGACCATGATTGGTCCGACAGTAAAGACGCAAGCCGACAATGCTTTAAGTCTTTCAACTCTCCACACTTCGGTAATAATCATGCAACAGATAACAACATAATAGGCGATAAACAATCATCTCTAAAGATTCGTAAAACACGTATAACAAGGCATCCCAGAAAGTTCGATAACATTCAGTGGCTAGCCCATTAATATTAGATGATGTGTGACAAGATGTTTGTTTCATGGCTTTATATATTTATCTCGATTCAACTAAAATCTGATTCTTCTCTTTTGATAAAAGGTAAAGATGGAATCCAGCAGATAAACTATTAGTCTTATTAGGATCAGGATTTCCTTTCTTATAGGATGGTACAAGTCACTAAAAAAGATTTCCTTAATTTCTGTAACACTTCACTACCTGTATTTGCAGCGCTACTTTCTTTACAAAATTATTTTTTTATTATACTTGAAGTAACTCTTTTTATTAGCAATAGTTTTTTGCATCAGCAATACCAAACGTGGGGCGTTCATATACCCGATTCGATTTTATCATTCATCAGGATCTCTACCAACCTACCCTCAAATCTAATTATACACCCAAAGTAGCACATCATCCGTTATACATATATACTGGTATCCTTTCGGTACAAGAAAGGAGTTAATAGAACCCTAGACGGAAGAGTTCTGTGAAAGAATTAGAGCGATAAGGTTCGTCATTTTTTCTGTACGTTTAGCTGGAAAAGTCATTTACTTATTTACTTAGACGAAATTGCGTTGTAATTTTGAAATTTTGATTCATTCCACAAACGCATATATAACGACTTAGACTGATTTATATGTACAATAAGCTTTAGTTTTGCTCAGTCAATACTGTGAACTAGTCATTGTTAATATTCAGACATTTTAAAGATGGTTTTAAACGGGCGATTTTTATGGACGCCATCATATTTCATCACGATCCCTACTATTAAGTATTACCGTACTTAATGATAATATATAACGAAAGTACCTCGTAATCCATATGCGTACCCCAGCATAAGGTACATTATTAATTAGTGAATCACACAATTAACTGTCCTTAATTTCAGATGAACTGGTCTAATATTTGTTTCCTGCAGAAACAAACTTTTAAAGTCTAAAGTTTTTACACAGTTTCACTCTAGCCTATTATGTAATATGTTTCCTGGTGGCTCACGGTAAGTTTACGGTCTTATAACACTAAAATCTGGGGTTCAATTCCTTGCAGTGGACAAGGTGCAGATAGCTTATTATGTAGCTGTACACAGAGAAAAACGGTAACAATAGTTATGTAACGCAGCAGCAAAGCCTTGAAAAGTTAAAGAAGAAAAAATAGAAATTGTAACATAGAACTGAAAAAAATAAGCATTGCTGATAGAGTACCTTTAAAACTGAAATCTGAATTACGTCATTACCTTAAGAAAATGTTGTAATTGTTCTTGAAGATATTGAATACGATAAAAATATTGTGTTGTTTATTTGTAATTAAGCACAAAGCTACGCAATGGGCTATCTATGCTCTGCCCACCACGGGTATCGAAACCCGGATTCTAGTGTTGTAAGTCCGCAGACATACCGCTGTGTCACTGGGGAGCAAAAATATTATAAGTATAAGAAATATTTAGTCTTATTCTTAAGCTTAATGAAAAATAAATCAGGTTCATACTTATTACCAGCCGAAATGAGAATCATGGTCCTGATTTAATTTTCATTGAATTTAAATATAAAGTTAAACAATTTTTCTATTTCCAATATTTTTCACTATTTCCATACTTTTTCTAAAAAGTATAAATTGTTTTTGGTTTTGTCAGAACAAAAACCACATTCACAAACTCTCTACTCATTATATTAAAGTTATGAATTAATAACCTACGAACGTTGTAATACGTAATGTCAAATATATGCTTTATCACATTAAATATTTGATAACTTCATCTTGCTGCAGTGTCCAATAAACGTTGCATTAGTGATGTAAAAGAATACTTTTATCAAATAGCAACTACAGTTAATTCAGGAAAAAAGCGTTAAGTTTTCCGTAAAAACTAGGTAACTGAATAGGAGCACTATCTAACAGTTTAAGTATAAATCCTTAGATATATATTTTTTCTTTTGTTTACCATATATATGTATTACGGATAGTGCGTTTCTCATTTGTTAAATTAATTATGTTCAGCGTTTAAAAAAATCAATCTTTTTAGTATTCGATGGAAGACTCGTTAAATTTTATGAACTTGAGTTTTGATTAAATTAAAATTTCTCCTGCTTTGATTAGTTTCGGTAAGCAGGTAAAACTTCAAACTTTTGGATTTATTTATTGAAGCTCATTTTTATTCTAAAAATGTAGATTTAAAAGAGAAACCTTAGAAAACACAAATATGCCATTCATTTGTGATGTTTATTTTTCAAAACATTGTTCATTTACACACAATCTGAACAGCATCATTCACATTGGAACCAGAAGCGATACGGGATGATTTCACCGCAATTACACCTGCACACGACGTGTCTGATGCAACAAAAGGAGCTTTAGAAAGTTGTTCATTATTTAGAAC